TGAATGCGAGTCGCCATCTCTTGTCACCAGGCCTGCGAGTACAGTGTGATCTTGGCTCACTGCACCTCCACCTCCAAGGTTCAAGCGATTATCTGCCCAGCTCTTGAGTAGCTGGGATACCAGGCACGCACCACCACGCCAGCTAATTATATATATAGTATATTACCAGACCAGGGTTTCACCATGTTGCAGAAGTGTCTTTTGAACTCCTGACCTCATGATCCCGACCACCTCAGCCGTCCCAAAAGTGCTGGGATTACAGGAGTGAAGCCACCACACCCTGCACTGAGCACCATTTTTTCCAAATGAAACTCTCTGCCCTCTCACACACAGACACACGCACACACCAGCGCAGGAATAAACATGTCTTCTTTGCTAATCTGTACCCTGCCATTTACATTCACAGCTCAGAAAACAGAGTCAGAGTGCAGAGGAAACGTTTTCCTCTCACACTCGCTACAGGAAAATAGAGAGCAAATCAGAAAAAGGTTAATACAGTTCTCTATTCAAACGAAAAAACACATTAAAAGATAACTTAAAATACCGAATATGGCAACGACACTTAAAGTACACAGTGAGAACAACAATACAATTATTCTGCCCCGTAAAAAAACGTTCCAGGAACGCACACCGCAGAAAAGAAGAAGTACAAGAAGACCAAACAGCAGGGCGAAAATATAAAAGGAGAACACACTCCCTCTAAAAGGTAACACACATTCTAAAAATAGCAAAACTTAGTCAACAGGATAATACATACAATTGAAATGTCCATTTTACTCCCAGCAAAGGTACAAAGAGAAAGAGAGGGGAAAACTCTCAGATTTAAGCTGACATTCAAACATTCATTCTTAGCCAAAAGATGGTTAAATTCCTTATGAAACAAATTTGAACTCTGATGGACATGCTAAAATGAATCTTTTTTTTTTTTTTTTAAAGCAAAGTTTATGTACTTCTGAACTACTACCAGGTTCGTTCCAGGCAATGTAGTCTGGCTGTGATTCTACTTGGAACTGTGGACACACACACACTATCAAACAAACTTCTCCGGCAAGTGAGAGCCTACCTCAGAGTCTGGCATGGGGGCCCCCCCTTCCAAGGCCTGGATGCACCCAAAGAAACGGCGCTGGCATAGCCCGTCCTCACGAAGAATCCTTTTTTTTTTTTTTTTTTGAACCGAGTCCTTGGCTCTGTCCCCGCCCGGCCTGTAGTGATTGGCCGCCATCTTGGCTCACGCAACGTCCCGCCCCCACGGGTTCCCCCCATTTCCGCCACCTCCCCGAGTACTGGGACCACAGCGCCGCCACCCGGAGCCCGGCATTTTTTTTTAATTTTAGTAGAGGAACGGGGTTCACCGTGTCCGCCAGGACGGTCTTCGATCTCATACCTCGTGATCCCCCCATCTCGGCGGCCCCCCCTCCAAAGTTGCTGGGAATTACAAGGCTTGAGCCACCGCGCCCGGCCCCGAAGAGTCTTTGTTGACTTTAAAACACCATCATGAAGACCTACCCTCTTCCACGGCCATGCCAGAGCTCTGCCCCAGTCCAGACAATCCAGCCAGAGCTCTACCAGCTCCAAAACAGGCAGTTCACACCCCAGTCATAAACTTCTGTAAACAGACTTTCCAGTGGAATTACTGCCCTTGTAACTCTTGCTTCTCTGCATATATTTTATTATTATTATTTTTGAGACGGAGTCTCGCTCTGTCGCCCAGACTGGAGTGCAGGGGCGCAATCTCGGCTCACTGCAAGCTCTGCCTCCCGGGTTCACGCCACTCTCCTGCCTCAGCCTCCCCAGCAGCTGGGTCTACAGGTGCCTGTCAGCATGCCCGGCTAATTTTTTTTTTTTTTGTACTTTTAGTAGAGACGGGGTTTCACTGTGTTAGCCAGGATGGTCTTGATCTCCTGACGTGATTCGTCTGCCTCGGCCTCCCAAAGTGCTGGGATTACAGGCATGAGCCACCGCGCCCGGCCATATATTTTATTTTATTTATTTATTTTGCAACAGTGTCACTCTGTTGCCCAGGCAGCAGCACAATCACAGCTCACTGCAGCCTCCACCTCCTGGGCTCAGGTGATCCTCCCATGTCAGCTGTTCAGGTAGCTGGGACTATAGGTGCGTACCACTGCATCAGTTCATCTGTTTATTTTTTGTAGAAACAGGGATTCACCATGTTGCCCAGGCTGGTCTCAGACTCCTGGGCTCAAGTAATTCACTTGCCTTTGCCTCCCCAAAGGGCTGAGATTACAGGTGAGAGCCACCGTGCCTGGCCTCTCCGCATATATTTTAAAGTGTTTTACTTATTATTACATGTTTTCTTCCCGTAAGATTTCATATTTTACTTTGCAAAACTAAAAAGCCAATATAGGCTTTGTTACCTCCAGTGAGACACTTTAAAACATTTTCTTGAAACGACAGTGAAAACAAATTATTAACTAGACGAAAAATGAAAGATTCAGACAAAATAACTTGATTTCTCTTATATCCATTCAGAGGCCTAACTAAAGGAAGTATAGTCAAACAGCAAGTATTCCAGTACCTGTGAGATTTTATTTAGAGATTAGGTCTTTGCAGATGGAATAAAGTTAAAAACAGGTCCCCCCGGGTTAGGTGGGCTGCAATGCAATGGCTGGTGTCCTTATGACGCTGATGGAAATTTGGACACAGACAAACATGAAAGGGAGACAGCCACGGGAGGACGGAGGCAGAGACTGGAGTGATGCATCCACAGGCCAAGGGCACCAGGGAAGGCGAGCTGCCACTGCAAGC